ATCTGCGCCTGATCTCTGTCCGATTAGGGCACGACAGGCTATTAAACTCTGCGTGTGTGTGTGTGTGTGTGTGTCACATACGTCCGACCCAGCCCTAGGTCTTCTTGATTCTGTCATGACACCGGGCACGGGCGAGTGAGGGAAGGGACAGCGAAAGAGTTCCGCAGATTTAGCGCAATTCTACTCTCACTCAAAACTAACTCAGGCGCAAATCAGCGTGTTTGCCTTCAGTCTGTTGAATTCGACGGCCAAACTGTCGCCTCTGGCTGAACCCAAATCCAAGTCCACCATGAACATTAACACAAACCCTGAACAAATAAGACGTTGCGCACAGTTAGCAGAAATTGTAAGGATTAAATAACACACCACGCCACGCAAACACTAGGACTGGTCTGATGGCAAGGACGGCGAGATACAACGACTGAGCTCCGAGAAAGACCAACTCCACGTGATCTGCATTTATATCCACACTGTTCAAGGAAAAACCGAATTTTTCAAATCTTGCTGGCCGAAAAATTGTAGATTATTAATTGCTGGAGTGTCGTACCCAGCCATCCTTCTACAGTCTGCCAATAAAACATCAGTGAGCCTCCTCAAGCGGAGACCGACAGTTTGGCCGTCGTTGCCGAGGATTTCTATCGTGTACCTCAGAATATGGTAGGTACCGGGACATTGACTTGTGCCTGAGTGAGTTTATAGTGATAATAGACTTACGCAGCATCTAGCGCACAGTGGTCTCACGTCGCGGTGACTGTGTGCGCCCTTGGCTGGGTACTGGAAACAAATCTCTGTAGTCTGAGGTCCCTATAAATTGACATTCTACCGCAGACTTCCAAGCTTAGTGAACCTCGGGCCTCTAATAGCATGAAAAGAAGGCCATAAGTACTTCCTGTTTTTTCTGGAGAGACGTTTGTTTGCGTGTAGTTCTGATGGCATTCAAGTCGAAAATAAGGGAGATACTTAAAGAAAGGATATGTTTCGGGTTTTAAAAAAACTTCTTCAATTGCCGAATAGTTTTGAATCCGACCTGTCGTTAGACCTACATTCAGAGTCGCCAAATTATATGCTGTCTACGTTCCTTCTAAGGTAAATCGCAAATATCTTTACGCTATGAGAAAGACGTCACATAGCGCTCATAAAATTCTGCAATGGATGTAGGCCATGCTGTCTTTTTTTTATAAGCAAGAGTAATAAATGCACAGATGCGATGCTTTGTGAATGCACAGTTCATGACCTTCAAATATCCCATAATTAGAAATTTATTTAAAACCAAAATATATCCCTTTTCAAGTATAAAATTGGAAGAAGTAATTTGCTAAAAAATAAGTAGGAGCAAAAATATTTTGGTACACGTCTTTTTTACCATATATATTCGAATTTGTAATGGCAGTGAAAATCGTTGAGAAACGGCATAATAAGTAAGTAGCCATCTGGTGACTGCTTAAGAAATCCTGCTTGAGCAGTCAGCTTACTGTAGTCTGCAGTAGCCTGGGCGGATAAATTGGCTCAAGTGTGACTAGACGCACATCCCCCCGCGGGACCTCTCTGAGTTCAGACGAATAAAGCGTTTGCTGTACTGAAGCCTCTCCCGTGCTGTACTGGGTTCAAATTCCACCGAGGCCACCATTGTTTTTCGAAATTGAGTCTAATGAATTATTTTAATCTAAAAACAAGGCCATGAATGAACATTGCCGGCTAGGACAAAGGAGATTGGGATGACCATTTCTGGTTCACTAACCGTCACCGGTCGGTCACACCCAATCCCAAGTGGTGCGCCACTTGAGGTTAGACCACTTGAGGGAGTTTGGTTAGCGATCGGTAAACGTCAATCAGCGAGTACCCCTATGAATACTTTACTGTTGTTGACAAAGTGTTATACCATATATAGCGACTTTTAATTTCACCTGAGTACTAATTATTTTTTGTATCAGATTGTTTGTAGCTTTGTTTACCAGATACGGACTCCCTGTCCTGTTAGCAGCTGCTATGGTGTTGACTGTTTTCTTTTTCAATTTTAGAAGGGGACTCATGAAGAGTTACTGCAGCTCAAGGGACGTTACTATGAACTCCTTCAAAGGCAAGGCGAAAGGGACGTGTTCTCATGATTAGTTTTTTGCTCGAACATTTTATTCCTTTTTCTATGATCTTTTCAGAAACCCTACCTCTTTCCTCAAAGGCCTTACTAGTTTTTACTCAAGGACTTTAACGAATACTTGATTTTCCATACCACGCATCTTGTCATCTCCTCTCAGAGGTTTTCGGGTCTTTTGCCTGAATATACTTGTTTTTAAAAAACTTCGTCCAGCATTCTTTTGTATTCTCTCCGGCATCCTTGACATCATTTGATCAACCTCGATTAACTTTTAGTAGGATCTCTGGTCGCTCTGGCGTCTGTTTGTACTTACTTGCTCTGGTATCCACTGTTATTGCTTGGCATGAAACCATCTCTCCGCGGATGCCCATAATCTAGACGGCTACCCACCAGGCCCAGTACAGAGAGTCCGTGATAGACGACAGAATGATTTATTTTAGGAAAAGGGAAAAACACCCTTGCACAGAGGTTTTCGTCCATTCTCTTTCCTGCCGGCAACGAGGTCATGCAGTGTTTTAGTCTCTTTCTATTTACCGTATTGTGAAACCCACCACCGTCGTAGTTCCATAGAACGAACCCCGGGGCAAACGCTGATATATTCGAATCTATTTGCCTATTCCAGTCCCACGGATGTAGCCCATCACGTAAGCACAGAGAGCTGATTAAGTAAACACTGAGTGCAGAATTCTAGAGCGACATTTGTTGCTGTGCTTACCTCGGACCGTCATGTTTCAGCATTTTAACCAAAGCGATAACATATTCTGTAGGTTCGTCTCAACGACTTGGAGAAGGGATTATTAAACCAGACTTAGCCACATCCGACCCAAACTGTCTGTTCCCCTGTCCTATTTTTTCGGTCTCTCGTTTACACGATTGGCTTTTTAGACAATCGAACCAATACCGGACTCTAAGCCAGATCGGGTTTTGTGGTTATCCATTTACAGAGCAAAGGGTATTTATAGCGGACAAATTTTTGGTGACTGATTATGGGAAGTGAGAACCTCCCTTGAGAGTCAGTGATTTGGGGCTGTAGACTATTGACGTAGTCATGGCGACCGCCTACTGACAGCTCATCGCCACAAGACTGTCTGAAAATGTCGAGGTTTCAAGGCAAAACAACAGCACTTTGTCTTGCAAACTAGGTAACAGGGCGAATGTCACTCCCCCTGTGGTTGTGGAGAATACCTGCCACGACCGGCCGTACACGGGCCTGTACCTCGAGTGACAGGTCGTTTGACGCAACTGCGCAAATAAACGACTGATCCGAATCCAGATTTCAGGGCCGTCGAGGCGTGGGCCATGGACATGGTGCATAGATGTCTTCAAATACCTCAGAAATGGCTAAGCCAGTAGGCTCTTTGATCGTCTGTGCTTATTCTCAATTTTTCAAAAGACTTCGCTAAATGCACCCTTGCCTTGCGGGGAAAAAAAGGTGGTCCGGCGTTTTCAGGTATTGACCATTTTTGAAGTGCTGCAAGGGATATGAGCTCAGGAGTTCACTGTATTTAAATGCCTGATACCAACCCCACCCCCTCTCTTCGAGTTGCGAATTTCCCCCTGTTGCGATTGTGTGTGACTTAGCAAACGACAATCTCACGCACTTATGATTACTTAAATACAGGCCCATTGATAACATTAATTGTAGTTTACCCTTCTAAGAGGATTAGTCTACTGTTTGTGTACTTGGAATGCCGCGAAGAGGCCACTTCGAGCAAAATAGTCAGCAGATCGCTTTGGACGACGTAAACAATTTACTAATTGAACATGGCAAAGTAAAGGTTCACCAGACTATGGTTTTATTTATCACAGTTAGATGCACTGGGGCTCCAAAGCCCTGTTCGCAGGTGCAAGCCACCTACCTCGAGCTCACTGCGTGGCGCCCTGCTAAATAAAATTCGCACGGTAGGTCTTACTTTCAAATTTTGCGATCAATAATTCTTAGGGTAACTTGCCTGGGTATTTGAGGGTAAGGATGGACATAACAGCCTTTCTTCTGAGCATTGGTGGAATAACAACCAACTCATTTGCCTTATCCTACATCCTTGCTGCGTTCGAACATGGGAGAAAACAGCACAATACTACTTGGTTTTCCTTGATGAAGAATTCTCTCGATTTAACGGCTTGCATATTTCTTTTGATAGAAAGCTGGGGCCACAGTCTGTCCACTACACCCTCAACTGTGTCGCAACTATTCTGTGTTCTTCATACAGTTCACTTTTGGTTTTGGGTGACAATGACACTCCGTGTTGGCCTTAATGTGATACAAGCGGGATACTACTTCGAATGGCTAGTACTAACAAAATATCATATTGTACGTTTGATACCCCTTCAAATGACCGTTGTTGCAACTACCTACGGATGTCAG